GGGGGGGGGAGCCCCACTTGGGAAGGAGACCCAGCTGAGCAGGCAGTGCTTTGACGACCGGCCTTGACCGGGAAATCCAGGCCGGAGGGCAGAGCCTCCCAGCCTCCCTGCAGCCCTGTCTCTGCCTGGCACAAAGGGCTCCCAGTCGCCAGGCACAGCTGCTCCAGCGGCTGCCCTGCCCAGCCAATCCGCCCTGGGCCCCAAGGAGGGGCCGCCTAGGCTGCAGGGAGGGTCCTCGGCCGGGAGAGCCAAGGCAGACGGTGGGCTTCCAGCGGTTATGCGGAAGGGGGCGAGGGCAGAGGGCAGCCCCCCAGAGCCTGGAGCTGGCATGTCGCCCTGGACGCTAAGTAGGAGTTTAGAGGTTGAACCCGATGAGACAGACAAGCAGGCTTGGGAAGGAGACCACGAGGCAATCCCGCCATGGTAGATCAGACTCTGACAAAGGCCCCCGAGAAAGGATAAGCCGTAACAGGCCTTAGAACGTTGCAGAGGGGCAGAGAGCGGGGCGGGAGGGCCTCTCTTCCCCCCAAGGACCGGGGTTCCCAGCAGGCACCTCGGGGGTTGCAGGGAAGGGCACCTACCTGAGCTTGGCCAGCCATTTCAATCCCTGCGTCGAGAAACTCATCGAAGTCCTCGCTGAACTTCCCCGAGGCGGCCGCCAGCTCCCCACTCTGGCCCCGCGTGGAGTGCACCACCTCCCCGGCCGACTGGTTCAGGTCGGCCGCCGCCTGGTTGAGCTCGCTTTGCGCTTCCTGGAAGGACTTGGAGCTGGGGGGCAGCTGCAAGGGGGGGGGGGGGGGGGGGGTAGGAAGCCGGCCGGGGCTGTGCCCTGGCACCTGCCCTGTGCGCTCAGACGGGGGGGGGAGGGCAGAAGAGACTCTCTGGGCCCTGCCTCGGTTTGCAGCCCCCCCCCCGGCCTCCTTCCGGGCGACGCAAGGACCAGAAGCCCCCCCACCCTGCTTCCTTCCATCCCGGCCCACCCTTGCAGAGCCCGTCAGGGGAGCCCTCCGCTTGCCCTGGCACCCTGGGCAAAGGGGCTCTGGGAAGGAAGGGGTAGGCACGCAGGAGGCCTCCTCAGCCCCGGGGGGCCACAGCGGGGCTCACCGATTCCACCAGCAGCTTCTTGCTGGATTCGCCAATGCTCTTGAGCGCCACGTCCACGTCCTTCTGGCCGGGTAGGCAGTTGACGCAGTTGTTCAGCGAATGGGACACGGCTTTCGCCACCTAAGCAAGACCCAAATGCCCAGGAGATGGAAAATCTCAGGGGGGGCCCCAAAGACACAGAAGAAGTAGGGGAGGGGCTCCCCTTCTGCCTTTAGACCCCAACCTGCAGACCGCCCTCCTGGACTCAGGGAGACGTTGAGGCCAGGACAGTCCGAATGGCCACAGACACGCCAGCCCTTTGGCTAGGAGCGGTTCTGACGCTGGCGGCAGTCGGGGCAGGGCGAGCGGCAGCCCACTCCTCTCCCCGGCTGCTCCGCACCCACCTGGGCCAGCCTCTGCTGACTCTCGGCATCCCCCGGAGACACCAGGGCCTGCTTGGCCTCCTGGATGAGCAGAGCGGAGCCTTCCATCACGTCCCAGGCGGAGTCCAGCATTGCGCGGGCCGCGGAGGGGTCCCCCGTGGATGCGGCCACACCCCGTGCCGCCTGGGCCAAGGTCTTCAGCGCCTGGGCCGTTTCCCGGGCAGCCACCCCTGGGGGAAGAAGGCAGGGAAGCCCAGTCAGCCGCCTCCAGGCTGGCCAAGACAAGGGAGGCCCAGGCCCAGCCCAGCAGCCATCTTGGGGGCTGCCACAGGACACGCAGCCCGTCGCTTCTGCAGAGCGATTCAAGGGGAGGCTGTCCTGGACCTCCAATGAAGAAACGGGAGGAGAGAAGGCAGCAGCCTTCCTCCTCTGGAACTGCCCCCCTCCATGGGAAACCCCCCCCCCCCCCAAGATTTGATGGCATTGTTTAGAAAGCCCCCGAAAAGTTTTGCAGGCCTCTTTTCATTGTCTGATACTTTCTGTGTTTTACCGAACGGCACGGTGCTGCTTTTTTCACCTAAATCCCCGCCAAGAGTTGGCTAAAGTAGGGTGGCACATAAAATAAATACGCAGATCACGAATAAGCAGAGCCGGAGAAAATATCTCAATCTCAAAGCGAGAGCCCTTGACTAATTCCCTGCCCTCAATGAATCTCTTTCAAAGTTGTCCCCGCATCTTGTGGCACTGAGTCGCGTGCACGGGCCCAAAACGTGAGGTGGGATGACTGGGCGAGGCAGTGACACCCCCCCCCGCCCGCCTTGGCCACACCCGAGGGGGCAGGAAGGCCGAAGAGCACTTGTACCCGTGTAGTCTTCGTTGCCTTGGGCGGCACAGGTCAACAGTTGCGCCATGGAGGAGCCGACAGCTTTGGAGGTGCTTCCCAAGTCCTGGGCACATTTTTCGAGCTGACGGAGAGAAAGGACCTTGTGGCGAACCTTCCTTCCCAGGGGAGCCCAGGGCCCCCTGGTGCACCCCTCTGAGGCGGATTCCCCTCCCACAAGAGTGGCACCCCCAGAATTCCAGCTCTGCCCCAGGAAAGGGCCCCATCTCCACGCCTCTCTCGCGGCTTCGGTCCCGGCAGGACTTCGCCACTGAAATGGAGCCCGAGCGGAATAAGGGCCAATTCTGCGCCTCTTTCCTCCAAGTTAAATTTAGCTGTTTTCCATCCAGGTTCACTCTCTTAAAACCAAACTTGTAAACCTCTTGGTTAAGATGGCCATAAAATGGTTTGAACTGTTGGGACAAGCTTTCTCGTCTGCTCAGGCCATCGGATAGGAGCCCAACGTCACTCTGGGCCTGGAAGCGCCATAAGCCGATAGAGGCAGCCGCTCTTACGAACTACCCAAAGGGAAGGAGCTCAACCGATATTTAAATGCAACCCCCCCCCCCGCCCCCCAAATGTTTGTTTGGTGAGTATATCCGCTTTAAGAAGAGCAACGTGAGACTCATGCCATATTCTCCGCTCACCGTTTCCCCCGGAAGAGGCTTCAACTGTCCCTCGAGAGCCGCCATCTTTGCATCTTGCAATTCGTTTTTGAGCGTCTGGACGGTGTCCAGGGCCGAGTCGATCTCCATGGGGCCACAGGCTTCGTGGGCCTGAGGGCAAGAGGGACGAACAAGCCCGTCCTCACAGCTCTCTCCCCACAAGCACAAAGCCCCTTCCAAGGGGGGTGGGGGGGGTGGGGGGCTTCTGCCCACCTTCTGAGAGGCCGTCCTCAGCTCCGCCAGGCTGGTGGCCAGGTTCTTGGCACACTGGCTCAACTGCATGGCCGCCGCCTGGTCACTCACGGTTGGCACTGCTGCTTTGGCCGAAGCTACCATTTTGCTTCCGGGCTGTGGGAAGAAAGGCCCGCCGCAGTTGGCCTTGGCAGCCCCTCCGTCTGCCGGAGCCAGGCCCCTCCCCTCCCCCTCCCTCCCCCTCGCCTACCTGGAGGAAACTTTGGCTGGAGTTGATCAAGGCCAGTTGGGCGCCCAGGTCCTCCGCCTGCGCTTGGCTCCCTCGCACGCCTTGCACCAGCTGCGGGATGTGGTCAGCCACGTTCTGCCCCGGGGAGAAAGGAGGAAGGCAACGCTTGGCTCTCCAAGCGGACGGTCGCTCCCATCACGGAGGGGGCAGTGGGGTGGAGTTGGCACGACGTGGGAGGCGTCGCTTGGCAGGGAGGAAACTGGGGCTGGGTTCAGTCTAGCCAGATCGGGGTTGCATGGCTGGTCGTGTAATCCCAGTGTGGAGGCGGCAGAGGCGGCTTTGCCTGGCCCCCTCCGAGACCCCGTCAAACCGGCTGTGGGAAGAGGGCCTCAGGGCGCTGGAGGGGGGCGGAATGGGCTTCAAGGACTGGAGCAGCTCCCAACCGGGGACGCTCTGGCTGTCCGGAGGCCTCTTGGCTTTCCACCTGGGATCATTCTCGGGATTCGTGAAAGGGGACCCCTTGGGGGTTACGAGGAGGCCCCTCTTCCCTCCCTCGGCTTCTCCCCAGCCCAGGCGGCCTTACCTTGCAGCTCTGGACCAGCTGCTGGTGGGCTGCCGTGTTCTTGTTGGAAATGGCGGCGTTCTGCGAGGCCGCGATGGTTTGCGTGGCAGCTGCGGCTGCCTGTTTCGCTGCCACCTGCAAGGAGGAGGAGGTCTTGGGGAGACAAGAGCGAAGGGGTGGGCCTGGCCAGCAGGGGGCGGGGTGGGGGGACGGGACCCCCCCCGGTTGGAAGATTCTGGAAGAGCTGCCTAGAAGGCCAGGAGGGCAGAATCGACTCGGTTCTGAAACCCTGAAAGGTGAGAAAGTTCCCTTTCTCTCTGCGAAAACACATCCTTCGCTCTCTCATCCGCCTGCCCTTTGGGTAGTTCGCAAGCCGACCGTCCCGGCAAGAGAGGCGTTTTCTCTCCCCCAGCTGCGTATCGCCACTGACCGGGAGGACGGGGGAGGAAGCGGCTGCCTGAGACCTTTGGCCTAAGCTTAGGGCCCACAACTCAGCCAAGGAGGAAGAGGCGCCCTGGCCTCACCTCCAGTCGGTTCACGATCTTCTTCTTGATGGCGTTCTGGGCGGCTGCGTTGGTGGCCACCCGGAGCCCTTCGGCCGCTTCCCGCAGCCGCTGCTGCTGGTCTTCGTTGTCCGGGTTGGCAGCAGCTCCCTGGGGGACACCAACCACAAAGACAACACTTGGGGGGGGGGCAGGCCCATTGCAGCCTTCATCCCATCCCCCCACCCCCAAAAAGCAAGCTCCAGCTGTGAACCCTTCACGGCAGCCACACTGGTGTGCTGGGTCTTCCGTGGTACCTTCGCGGCTTCTACCATCCGGGCTGTGGAATCGGCAAGAAGTTTGGCCGCTGCCAGGAGCTTCTTCGAGTTCTCCATGTCGATTTCTGCCTCGGCGTCTGAGCGCATGGCGTTCACCAGGTCCGAGGTTGCTTGCGCTAACACCCTTGCCTGCCGCACCATTTCCCCTGCAACGGGATGAACAGTTTGCTTTGGCTAGGACCTCCAAGGCCTCTCCAGGCCTCCAAAACGGATGATTTCCAACCAAGCACCCCAGGGATTGGCGTGGAGAGAAACATCCCTGGCGGAACATACTTCAAAGTGCCCCACAAACGAATGCCCCCCTTTCTGGGGCACAGGGCAGGGACCCTCTTTTGCCCCTGGGAGGCACCGGGTTCAATTCCTGGCTCTACCAGATGAGGAAGGGACGGCAACCTGGCTGGGTGGCAAAGAGGCTGGCGGGGCAGGGGTTTGCTTCTTCCAGGCAGGTGTCAAAAAACGTCCAAATGCTTACCGGCATCCCCCATGGAGCTGAAGATGCTCTCGGTGACGTACATGATAGTGTCGGTGGCCTGGTCGTAGCGCCCGATGGGCTCCCCCCGGCTGGCAAACTGCCGGACGTGCTGCAGGAGGTCATTCAGGGCCTGGCTGACCACGCTGGCTGCCGCACTAACTTGCTTGAGCAGTTCGGTGTCATCCGTGGCAGCCTGGCATGCCCGCACACAGTTCTCCACGGAGCGATCCACCAGCTTCCCGGCTTCAATCAGCTGCTCCTGACACACCGGGGAGCTGATGGTGGGACTCACCACCTGCAGCAAAGCACACCCGGCCAGGTGAGGTGAGCAACAGGGCGCAGGGCATCTGCTCTGGGGAGGCGCGCCTGGCCACCGCAGGAGGGCGGGGGCTCTTTCCACCTCACCACCAACTGGACAACAGGCCACGGATGTCCTCCCAGCTCTCCACAGCCGGCCAGTATCAGGGAAGCTAGGACTGTCTTGTCCATCCTGGGTGGCCCGCCCCTCTCTGGACGCACCTTTGCACAAGCCACCAGCTGCGAGGTGGAGAGGGCGCACTGCGTGGCAGCCGCAATCACCCTGTTCTGCAGAACCGTGTCCTCGGCCACCTGAGCCACGTTCTTGGCCTTCAGCACCAACATGGCGGCGGCATTGGCCACAGCTTTGGCCAGGCTCATCAAGACATCCTGGGCAAGAGGAAGGAAGGGAAGGAGGCGTTGGACCAGGAGGAGCAGCTCAGATCACCCACAGAGATCCTCCAGGGGGACCCAGGGGAGATCACCTGGAAGCGCTCGTCCGTCTCGTTCTCCCCGATCTGCCTGAGCAGCTCCCCGCTGGCTTGGCCGATGCTGCCGGCTGCGGTCAGAACAGTCTGGCGGGGCTAGGAGGACAGAAGGTAGGAAAGAGGAGAGTTTCACCCGAGGAAGAGAAATTCTCCAATCTGCCGCCCTTCCACTACAGCCAAGTCCTTCCCGAGGACAATCCAGAAGAGGACAAGAATGTCCAGGATCTCCTTCCTGCGGGGGGCAACCCAGGACGACCCACTGCCCTTCTGCCCCATGGCCTCACCTCTCCCGATGTCGGTTCCACCGCTTTGAGCAGGTTTGAGACGGCCCCTGCCAGGGTCCGAGCGGCCTTCAGCAGGTCCTCTCCACTCCCAACCTCGTCGTCCATGAGGGCCGCCAGCAACTTGACCCCCTTGGACATCTCCGTGAGGTTGGAGGAGATGGTGGTGATGGCACAGCCCACTGCTGTGTAGTCTGTGTCGACCGGGTCCCCTGCCAAGCAAAGCAGCCATGGAGATGCCCAACCTCTAAAGGCACTGCAGAGCCCCCTCCCCTCTTTAGCGACATCTGCCACTGCCAGGGCTTGGTCTTTGCGGGCGTGGTTGTTGGATTTTTGTTGCCGTTTCCTGTTCCAGAGCGTCTTCTGCTTTGGCCCCGAGCACCCTTGGGCCTTATTGCGAGCCATGCGCTGATTCCCGAATGCCCCACTGAGACGGGAACACTGACCAAAGCCAATTCAACAGACGCTTCCTTCAGAATTTTGGGAAGATACGGGTTACACTCACCAACTTCACGGGACCATTACAGAGCCCGCGGCCTCCTTACCTGCTGTGAGGTTCACCACGGAAGCTGTCCCTGCAGTGATTGCATCAACCTGAGAGTGTATTTCATGTTTTGACTCGTCCACTTTGTTCTGGACCCAAACTCTGGAAGCCTGGAGAAAAAGGCAGACCACCGAGGTCAACTGATAAGAAGGTGGGACCTCTTCTAATTTCTAGCTTTGCTAGTCCTGGCACAACCTTCTCCAACTTGGCGGCCTTCAGACAGAGGGGCCCCTGCTGGGATCCTTAGCAATTAGCAAGTGAGTGAAGGACTCTGGGGGCTGAATTCCACACCCCTGCAGAGCATCAGCTCAGGAAGGCCTTTGCGAGAGAGGGATTGCGATTAGATCTCCTCTCGGGTCGCTAAGAAATATCCTGGGAATACTCCACATTCAGGGCTCCCCAGAAGGATGGATCTGACCCTCCAAGGAAGGGCAAACGCTTGACACGACTGCCCTGGGTCAGGCCTGTTTGTCAGAATGCCCGAGAGGGAAGAAGGGCTACCAGACCTGGAGGGGCCGATTCACACAAGGATTTTCCTACGGGAGACCCAGGAAAATGGCCGCCATGCTCACAGGCACGGAAGCCTTTTGGCACACAGAAGGGCTCTGAGAGAGCCTGAAGGCGGAGAAAGAAGCCCCAGGCCAGGGTTGGGTTTGGAGGAAGGGTCTTCCCTTTGCCCCCTGCCCCCGCCCCCCGAAGCCAACTGACCATATCGTTCCCTAAAGGCGGAAGGTCATCGACTTGGGTGAGGTCAGCCTGAGTCTGCTGGACGGCCTGCATGCTGGTGTTGATGGTGCCCATCAGGGCCTGCTGGGCCGAGGTCTGAGGAAAGCCAAGCCACGTTCAGCAGGTCTCCTCCCGCAAAGGGGCTTCCCAGCAGGGCTCGGGGGGGAGGGGCTCACCAGAGGGGGCATGTGGGCCCGGTGCATCTGCCCGACCGTCACCTGCTGCTGCGGGGAAGGCATGCTGCCCATGTTGAAGGTCTCTGGGCCGGTGGAGCCCGAGCGCATGACGGCCGGAAGTGCCACGGAGCCATGCTCCACCTTCCCGGTGCGGTTGAACTGCTGCTGCAGAATCGTCGACCTGCCGAAGTGGGGGAGCAATCAGGGCACAATCAGACGCTGCCCCGCCCTTCCCCTCCAGCTGGGAACAAGGGCCGGTGCACCAGCTCCCATTCCACAAAAAGCCACTCTTGCCTCGCCCCCTCGATGCCCGATGAGCGGCTCTGGGGCCCCCCCAAAGCTTGCACCCCCGCAGGGACTTCCTATCTGACACGCCCCAATAAGGGAGGCCGGTCTCGGAGCGACGCAAACTGCAAGAAGGCCCGAAGGCCTTGGAGATGGGGAGAAGAGCAGCCTCCGTGGAAAGGAGGCCAGGCCGGAATAAAGGCGCAGGTCAGCCCAGGGGCTTTGCCACAAGGGCCTCCTGGAGGGAGAGAACCCCCAGCCCCCTCCCACCTACTTTTTGGGAGAGACGGACTCTTCCAGCATAGTCGATTCTTCATCTCCTTCCAGCCCAAAGCGATCTTTGCTTTGCTTCTGCAGAAAAGGCCAAGAGAGGTTTCCTTCCTGGGGGTTGTGACCCCACCCCTCTTTCTGCACAGGGGCCCGAACACCCAGAAGCCCACCCCGGCATCGCCAGGCTCCTCCTGGGGCTCTAATCACGGGGCCCCGGGCTCACCCGAGAGGCCTCTGGCCAGTTGCCCCAGCACTCGGCTCACGGCTGGGCCACATCCCCGCCACCAGTGCTGAAATGCCCCGCCCACCAAACCCCAGCCTTGACCTTTGTACAGGCATGGAATGGAAGCCACAGGGGGAGGGACCACCCAAGACCCCTCCCACCCCCAACCCGATGCCCCTCCACCCCCCCTGCTGCTTGGAGGTTTGGGGGCTGGGAAGACGGCTGCCTGGCTGCCAAGTTCGAGGCTGTCCCTCCTCCTCCTCCTCCTCCTCCTCCTCCTCCTCCTCCACATTCAAGGCGACTGGGGGAGCCAGTGCCCCCCCACCCCGCCAACGAAAGCCGTAAGGGTCGTACCTTCTTGAGGATGATGTCGATGTAGCCTGCGATCAGCTGAGAGATCTGCTCCCCTTCAGTGGTCTGCACTGAGTAGTAGCTCTCTTGGTACTCCCCAAAGTCCTAAGGGAAGACGCAGTGCCATTTGCACCAAGATTGGGACACCCGGGGGGCGGGGGGGGGGGGCGGGGCTTCTCTTCGGCTTCACTCTCACCCCCACGAATTACCAGGGTGAAGCTCTTGGGCGAGGCCGCCCAGCGTTTCACGGTGGTCAGAGGCCACTCCTGCAAGACTTCCTTGGTCTTTTCGTCCACCCGCATCACAGACTCCTTGGTAATTCCAAGCAAACGTGGGACCAGTTTGTTCTTTCCTTTCATTTTCTCCTGGGATAAAACAAAACGGAGAAGAACGTCAGGCGACTCCGGAGGGTGGATCCAGCAGAAGGCGGCCTGTCTAGCACAGCTTTGGTGTTCCTCCGAAGCCAGGCAGGGGGGGCCAAGAAGCGCACCAGGAGGCGGTCGCACAATCCCACCATCCCACAGGAGGCAGGAAACAGTCAAACTCTATAGGTTGATAATGGGTGGTGAGCAGCCCGTCCTTCTCTTCCTCCTCCATCTCCCTGCCTTGAGGGCTGGTCAAGACTGCCCCTATTGCCCCACCCGCTTTCTTACGCCCCTCAGGATCTCCCATATGTCCCCTTTCCCCTTCTGGGCCTTCCCTCCGTGGCCCACAGCTTGAGCCCCGAGGTCCCTGGTGTGCCCTTTTGTGCATGATATGCCTGCTTCACCCTTCTGGAGCTCATGCGCCGGCAAAGGGCCTCCTGGTGTGATTCTAGCTCATGTTTTAATAAGTAAAAAAATATGGGATTAATTGGGATTATGGACTCTGGTCTTGACTGGTCTCCTTGGGACGTGAGCAGTCCGGCAACTAAATTTTGAGGAAACGCAAGCGGTTGACGCAAGAGTGTAAAAAGAGAACGCCACGTCAGCTATAATAATTCATTTCCATTCCCCAAGTTACAATAATTCACTCAAAGCGGAGTGCATTAAATGCTCAGAGCATCCGTTAAACAGCTCAGGTTTTTAAATTCTCTGCTTTGCTCCCCGCATAAACTGATCACAGCCAGACATTTCGCACCGCTGTTCCCGAAAGGACTTAATTGCCATTTGCTTCAGTCAGCCCTAAAAAAGAGGGAAGCGTTCAAGGAACGGAATATGGGTTTTTAATTGAATGAACCCCAGCATATCGCTGCCGCCTAATAATGAACCGAATTGTTGTCTTCCTCTGGCGCCCCGCGGTGCCAGTTGGAAGCCCCCCGTTAGGAGAACACTGACGGGATCTGAGTGCGAGAAAAAACACGGCTTCATTGTGTGGCAGCATTCTGGGAAAAACCGCGGGGGCCCAATTGCTCCTTTGCAGGGCAGTTCACTCACCGGAAGGGAACGTGGAAAGGAAAGGCCTGACGCCACCAGAAAAGGCCACGCTCTCCATCGGGAGAAGGAAACACAGAGCGGGAACGATTCAGCCCACGCAGAACTTGGCGACTGATGTTCAGTGGGGCCCAAGAACATGATTTTCAGCCAAGTTCGGGGAATAAAACGCCAATCAAACTTGGCGCTGTTGCGATTTCTCTAAGTCAGAGGTGGGCGACTTTAGGACCTGTGGACTTCAACTCCCAGAATTCCTGAGCCAGCGCAAGGGGTTCTGGGAGTCGAAGTCCACAGGTCCTAAAGCTGCCACGCTTGACGACCCCTGCCCTAAGTCTCCTCGGTGCTGGGACTAGGAACGTCCGATTTGGCTTCCTGGTGATGCCCCTTGGCTTCTGCCCTCTGGCTGCAGGATGACAAAGCCAGTCAAGTCATTCAGATGCGCCGATCCAGATCAGGAATGGATTTGGGCCAGGACCAAGGGAGGAAAGGGAAGTTCTTCCCTCAACTCTAAACCTTTTTGAGTTGAAAAAGGCGCCAACTCTTTAGCCGGGTCTTATGAAACATATTCTTCACTGCTGCAAGCACCAACCATTGAGTCTAATTGAGGAAATTTAATTCAAGTCCAAATCCTACCTTCACCAGGAAAAAGGAGACTCCATAGGTCCTCAGAGACCGGGCCAACTTCACATACTTCACTTTGGCCTCTATTTCTGTCATCTCTCCGCAATTCTTGTGTTCCTGTGGTAAAAAGAGGACTATTTTGGTCAAACTGAAACCTCCTGGGAGAAGGCCTCACCCGTTGCGGAACGGGCAGACTTTCAAGGTGCTGAGAGAGAGAGAGAGAGAAAGAGAGAGAGAGAGAGAGAGAGAGAGAGAGTCACCTCCGAACTTTTAAATGTATTTGCTTATCAAGATCCCTAACCGGACGTGTCTCGGCGGGCCAGCCCCAGCCGGGCAAGGGTGTGAGCTGAAATTGGCCCCTTTCTGACTTTCCTCTCTCAGCCATGCCCCCTTCTCCATTGTCCTTGCCCAGGGCCTACGTCCCTTCCTTTCTCTACCTGGCACCTGAGAAAGAGTCAGCCGAGGGCATTTTATTTTCTGCAGCTCACGCCAACTTTCATTAACCTCTGAGGTACCGGTGATATTTCAAGGATCTGAGATTCACGCATGGAAAGACATTTCCTCAGCCCTTGGAAGGCAGGTGCCATCTTGACTCCACCGGCCTCTGGAAAGAATTTTGCATCCAATTCTTGACGCTCGGCGTCTTCCAGGATATGGTCTTATACAGGCGGCCAATGCCTGTGCCATCAAGGGCAGAAAATGGGGGATTTTTTTTTTTTCAAACTGACCCTGGGTGTTCGTAGCACCTCTTTATACTTCCCTCTCCAGGCCAATCCTAAATGTGGGTTTCATCGCAAGGAGATGCCCACCTTGCGTTTAGAGCGAAGCAGATTAGGCAGCCGACTGCAACTCGGAGGAAAGGCGGCTCCCTCTGCCAACTAGTTATCAAACCAGATGTCGAAAGTGTCCTTGCCAACTGGAACCTGCCCTCCCTGAATAGTGAGTCTGCATAACACTCAGTAACCAACAGCGAAGCCCAGAGTAAGAATTATTATTATTATTTTCAGCGGATCTGAGACTGGCGTCTTAGTCTCTGTCCTGCTTTGCTCTGCTCAACAGGAATTGTTCAAGTGACCCTAAGCAGCACTTTGGTTTTTTGAGAAGAAAGGCACCGATTAGGAAGGAAGGACCCCAAACGCGTGCAGCCCACGGCCTGGAGAAACAGCCCTGAGGTTGTGACCACAGGGGTATTTCTAATTCCCAAACCCGAAAGGGTTTTTAAACCAGCACCAGCCTTTGCCTTCGCCTTGTGCCTTCCAGATGCTGCCTGGGCGTGGTGGGAATGGAGACTGAGAACATCTGGAACACATCCCCCAGCAGCAGAGAGGGGAGCCCCGTGCGTCTCCTCAGCTGTTTCCCACCCAGATGTGCCAGTCCGTAACTTCCAAGCCCCCCCTCCCCCCCCCGTTCACACGGACGGAGACTGGTGGGAATTCTAGCTCCGAACACCTGGAGGGCACGGGATGGGAAAAGGCTGCATTGGGTGCGGCGAGCCCAAGCAAGGCACCTCAGGAGGACCAGGGGTCCTGGGCCCCTTAGGGCCTTTCACAGCCCCCCTCACGGTGCACAGAACGGAGCAGAACCCCAAACCCCTAAAACCTGGGATCAATTCCAGCCGCAGGAAGCTCCCCCCCCCCCCCCCCCCGAGGAAGGCTGGCCCTTCCCTGCTTTCTACGCTGCGGTCAAGGCTCCTTTCTTGAAGGCGCCGAAAGGCAAACCGGTCTTCCAACCAGACACAAAATCGTAGTTTAGGATAGGAAGTTGGCCAAAGGGAGCAAAAGGGAGGAGGACCCCCTGCTTCCTTCACACTGGACAGAATGCCACAAAGCCAAAGAAGGGGGGCTGCGCACGCGCACACACGCACACGCACACACGCACACACACGGAGGAACGGTGAGGGGCAACGCCGTTTCCCACTTGGGGGAGAAGGCTCCTCTCTTAATTACCTGGAAGAGTCTTTTTTCCGCTCCTCTCTGCTTGATGTATTCTTTGGGGAGAAATTCTTTCAGGCTGCAGGAACAAGCAAAGGCACACAATTAAACGCACAATTTCCCTTGGCTGGACAACACTCAGCTGCAGAGGCTGGACGGGAGATCCACGGAGCCAGCCTGGCTGGGGCATTCTGGGAAGGGAAGTCCAAGGGGGCAGAACAGCAGCCGGCCAGCCGTAGTTATTCCGTAAACCCTTCCTAACACGCCTGGAGGAGCCCCCTCCACTGCCCGTCTGCAGGGACCCTCCCTCGTCCAAGACAGCACCCTGGAGGGGCAACGGGGGGGGGGGGAGGAGGCCCCGGGGGGTCCCCGTCGAGCCTTCTGAAGCGGAACTGAGCAGGGGGCAACCCGGCTGTCCCCGAGGCCGATGCAAACCCCCCCGTCACCATTAAGCCGCCTCGTTTCAATTGCACGGAGCTGCTTCGGCGAAACCCCATGAATATGACCGCCTCATTCCGGCAGCCTCTCGGCATTTCAAGGGCGGCGGCATCCGGAGCCCTTCCAGGGCAGCTTCCCAAGGGCTTCCCCGAGGGTCCCCCTCCCCCCTCCCCTGCTTTGAGGAAGGAGGCCAGGAGGTGGCAGCTGTCGTCCTGGCCGCCTCAGCAGGAGATGCTGGAACGGCCTTGGGGAAGGGGGGAGTGAGGGGCGGTGGCCCCCAAAGACCCCCCCCCCGGGCTAAAGCAATTGTGCAGGCGGCCCAGCTCCAGCTGGCCCCCCAGGGAAGAGCCCCGCTTACTCCAGGAACCCTGGCTTGTGCTTGTGCTCCACGTGAGGCCCGAACTGGATCTGGGCCTGAAAAGCGCCGAATTCACAGGCCTTCTCGAAGGATACCGGGTGGGAGCCGTTCAGGATGTCGTCACGGGCCTAGAAGGCAAGCGGGGAAAGAGTCCACGTCAGGCCCAAAGATCTCCACGGCTCCTTTGCCAGCCTCCAAACCTTCCAAGAAACTCAGCGCTTCCTGGCACCAAGTGGAAATAATTCAAAGCAGCATCAGCGGGAATAAAAAGCCTCGGCAGAACCGACGTACTAATCAATGGGGCTAAAATCCTCAATCCCAGATGCCAAGGTTCTGCAAACTAGCCCCTTTTCTTCTCAATAAACCTGGTTAGCCTAACCCTGCACGAACCTAGTTCTTTGGGGGAGTTGGGACCCACCCTTTAGGGCTTCACCCCCGCAGGTCGTGGTTTAACACGATGTGCAGATGTGTGGCTGGCTAAACCGACCACCTTTGGCCAGACCAGCTGGCGCCTTAGCAAGAGGGTCACCTGCCCCACTCCCCACCCCCACTCCGGCACACCTGGACATAGAGCAGGTTGAGCTGAACGGGGTCTCTGGAATCCACGTTCTGATCCGAGTAGAAGAACTTCCGTCTCAGAAGCAGCGTCTCGTTCTCGTCCACCCCTTGTTCCCGAAATGTCCGGCTGTGATCCAACCAGTTCACTGGGGGGGGGGGGGGAGGAGGAGAGGAGAAGGAGGAGGCAGATCGTTTTACGGCTGGTCTTCAGCTTAAGACTCCTTCAGATCACTGGACCGGAGCTTGACGGGCTTGGCTACGAGGCCCCAGGGGAACCGGGCAGCCCCAAGTTAGGAAGGAACAAAAGGCAGAGGCAGACGAAAAGAAAACGGACTTCGGAGGGCTGGTTAAGGAACCTCCTTACTTAGGGCTGTATTTTAAACAATTAGAGGGGCCATGCTTCACTTTGGAGATCTCAGGCACCCCCCCCTTTTTTTTTTTACATTTTAACCCTAGATTTAGAGCAAGGCCTCCCAAACTTGGCCACTTTAAGACTTGTGGACTTCAACTCCCAGAATTCTCCAGCCAGCATAGCATAGCCAGCTGGAGAATTCTGGGAGTTGAAGTCCACAAGCCTTAAAGTGGCCAAGTTTGGAGAGCTCCGAGTTAAAGAGTGTGGGCATTTCAAGGTATCTGCATCCACCTTACACGATGCGCAAATCCAAGATGTTCCTACTTGAGCCGTGTGACTACAAAATCACTCCGGCTTTGGTGGCGATTGCACACGAGTCCTCCGTCCCTGGGAAAGGCACTCACAGTCGTCATCCGTGTGCAGCTTGGCTTTTAATTTCTCCATCTTTTTCTCGTCCCGCAGCAGCGTCCGGTCCTTCTTCAGGGTCCCCGTGCCCCCCTCCTCCTTCTTCTCCTCAGTGCCTTCTTGGATTAAGGAATACTCTTCATAGTTGGTTATGCCTAAAGATGCAAAGAAAGTCATTTTTTCTGAGCGGGAGCAGCTGGCGTGGTTTGGGGAGAAGTCTGTGGGTCAGAACCACCCCGATGATATGGGTGGGAATCGTTTCCAGTTCCCTGTGAAGCCTCAAGAAAGCGCAACTCTTTGGAAGTGTTCCCTGACGTTAGCTCCCCAGGGTGAACGTTGGCCTTTCCAGGACTCTTGAGCGCGCCCGTCTTCTTCATCCCATCCAGCCAACAACAGAGGTGAGCAATAGGTCCTATTCTCAACAGGCACCAGGACTTCAGCCCACCCAGCAGCCAAAACAGAACCAGAAAAGACGAGACTGTCTCCTGGCAGAGAACTTGGAGCATCACATCGAATCGAGAGGACGACATCCTGGCAGATTCAGGCTGGGAGCGCCAGGAAAACAGGCTGCACAAGGTCCACCTGCACTCCTCACGGCCCCCTTTCAAGTCAAGGAAGACCTCCGAGAGGCAGATCCTTCGCCTTCGGTCCACACCAAGGACTAGCCCCCTTCTGGATCAGGGGTCTCCAACCATGGCAACTTTAAGCTCTGCTGGCTGGGGAATTCTGGGAGTTGAAGTCCACCAGGCTTAAAGGGGCCAAAGTAGGAGACCTCTATCGCACTACAGACCCAACGAATGGACAGCTGCCAACCGAGAAAGCGATTCCCAGCACAAGGTCTCAATCCAACTCACTCCAGCCCGGCTCAAAAAAAACCTCACATTCCCTGGAATGTCACTTTTGGAAGGCACTCTGGATGGTTGGTGACCACAGCCTGCCACAGAGTCTACTTCACAGGCTTTGCACCCTCTTTCATGGGGGGTTTGCCCCCCCCAGATCATTTTCTTTGGAGGGGAGATTTGATTGCTCTTCTGTGGGGAATGGGGGCACTCTGCTTGGACCGGCCATCCTCTGCCATACCTATCCGGCTGCAGATGGTCACCAGCAGTTCTCCCACGGTTTTGGAGTCATCCACCATCACCGTCTTCACGGAGCCGTCCAACATCCGGATTTTCTGGGGTCTCTGCTTCTTTTTGTACTCCAAAATATCCTAGGGAGTCAACCACCAGGTTATTTCACAGGAGAGACAAGCCCGGAAGTTGGTGGGTTTCCACCCCCAAGCCAGAGAGAGTCAAGGATGCCCTTATTAGGACTGGCACCGCCGGGGAATTCCCAGAGTTGTGGATGAGAAGGAAGTTGGAAGGAACCAGTCCTGAACTCTTGTCAGGGAAGCCTCATCCACGAGGTCGCCAAGAGTCGACTCAGAGATTTTACCTTTACGCTGCAGAAGGCAGGAAGGCAGCAAGGCGACTGGCTTGTCTGAACCACAGCTCCATTAATAGGCCTGGCTGGTCCTGCCTGCCCGCTGCGTCCCCCAGGGCTGAGCTGTCCTCCTCCTTCCCTGGAAGGGCCCCGGAGCCTTACCCCATTCCGCAGCATGTAGTAATCCAGGGTCCTGCCGGCTTCCAACCAAATCCCCTTCCGTGGGTCTTCATCGGAGAGGAACAACCCATAGTCAGAGGCTGTGAAAGAAGACGGGGGAGAAGCTGAGGAAGACGCAGGCCGCTCTCTTAGATGCCCCCCTTCCCGTCAAGCGGAGGACTTTTGTCAGGGCCTCCAGCCCTGGCCTTCTGCTGGCCCTTCTCGTCCCCTCCTTCCCTTGCCCTTCACCCTCAGCCCTGTCTCCTTTCCTCTTCCTTGGGCTATAATTGGCTCCCTTCATTTTGCGGGGTTCAAAGTTTGTGATGCACGGACCAATGGATGGATTCTTCAGGGAGGGAAGGAGGGAGGAAGGAAGGAAAGGAAAGGAAAGGAAAGGAAAGGAAGGAAGGAAGGAAGGAAGGAAGGAAGGAAGGAAGGAAGGAAGGAAGGAAGGAAGGAAAGGAAGAAAGGAAGGAAGGAAGGAAGGAAGGAAGGAAGGAAAGGAAGGAAGGAAGGAAGGAAGGAAGGAAGGAAAGGAAAGGAAGGCAGGCAGGCAGGCTCAACGTGGCTTCTATAAAGGGAACGAAGCCCTGTTGCTTTTCTGCAGTTAGGCATCTCCTAAGATCTGTGGCCTAAGGCCCTCTGAACATATCCACCTGCCTTCTCCTTGCCTCGTTCAGCTGCTACGGGGTCAATGTTCTCAGGTCCTTCTTGGTCTCTCTCTTGGCCAAGCGAGGTTGCCTGTGGCTGCCCACCTTCACAGCTCACCCACAACCAGGGTCTCTCCGGACTCACTTGCCTGTTTAAGAGCCACAGGCTGGCGGCCTCCCCTGCCTAGTCCCACAGATTGAGTAGGGCGGTTTTCAAGCATCCCTCCTTGCTACAGCATTGGGAGGCAAACCATGGTTTAAAGAGAGCCAGCGTGGGACCCAGGCTTGCCCGAGACTGACCTTGCCCCGTCTGAGCCTCGGGGACCCTCTCGCGGATCACCCGGCACGCGTCATAGACTGCCGTGGAGGGTTCAAACTGCATCGTCTTCACCACGTTGCATTGGCGGACGCAGATCTTCAGCGACAAGGCAACCATGGTGCTGGATCCCTCGGGGGCTTTTATCTCACCTTCAGAAGAAGCAAAGGAAAACCCTGGATGAGCGTTGAGAAAAGAATCATAGCTGCACGACCAATCCTTCTCCTCCTTCCTCTTCCCTCCCCCCCCCCCCGCTATCACCGCCACTCCGCACTCTGGGACATTCCCTTGGAAGAGGTCAACGTTATTTGCCCACCGAGCCAGGGATGCCTACTCTGGCTAGCAGCAGCCAAGCGGAAAGCTTCCCGATCAATTTTCCCCCTCGTCTGCTACTCAGCGTATTTTGATCTCAAAACCCAGCATGTAATTTGGGATCTTCCGCGGGGGAAGCCAATGTTCTGCCACTGAACTCCACTTCTCTTGATATTACGGTGTGGATATACCCAGGAACGAGCCACTCTCCATGTCTAAAATGTCAAATTCCATGCCAAGCGGCAGCAGAGCAGGTCCAGATTACAAACAGCCGGAATCCTATGGGGACCCGCCAGCTTGCTTTCGGTCTTACTTTAGGATTCAGCTGAAGTTCCAACCAGTGAAAACTCTCCAAGGAGGCTGGGGGCTTCTTCCATTTGCTCCATGCAGACACCCCCTCCTCCTCCACCTCCACTATGGCCTTATGCTCCAACTCATCCCGAAACAAGTCTTGGGCCAACGGCACCAGGGCCCAGGAGCCTCCTACAGGGCCCCCACTGGAAGGCCGAGCCCAAAAACGAGCCCAACCTTCTCACACAATGTCAGAGAGTGCCAAAAGCACCCCTCCCCCTCTAGGATGTGACTCAGCCAGCCTATTACTTAAGCAGCTCTCCAGAGCTGGAGTCGATTACTGTCAAGGCTGCCCTTTGCTGGCTCTCCCAGAGATCGGCTTCATTCTTTCCAGCAGCTGATCCCGGGACGGGCAGCCCCCCCCCCCAGCCCCTGGTCCTAGAGGCAGCCCACCAAGAGAGGGAAGGCATGAGCAATTCCTGGGCTTAGCCAAACCTTCCTCCCACCCAGACAGAAGAGGCGTGAGGTGGCCTCCCGCAGAGAGAGGGATAGCTCCCCCAACGGTCAGCGGGGGCTTGGAAAATTTTAGGCATTTACGCTGTTCTCCAAGAGGCCGCAGCTGAGGGACAAGGGAGACGGCGGGCAGGAATGCCCCACACCAGAGGTGGGTATTCAGCAGGTTCTGACCAGTTCTGGAGAACCGGCAGCAGAAATTTTGAGTAGTTCAGAGAACTGGCAAATATCGCCTCTGACTGGAGATTTTACAGCCTCCTTCCCCTGCCACGCCCACCAAGCCACGCCCACGGACCTGGTAGTAAAAAAATTGAATTCCACCACTGCCCGACACGTTCAGGAAGGACGACAACGGCTGCCTGGCGGCATCTCCCCACGTGATGGCAAAGGTGCACCATCTCCCCAAGGGCTAAATGGGGGACAGAGTTACACAACGGGCCACCAACCGATAATTCCCCAGTCGCCAGAAACTCTGCATTAGCAAAAACTAAAAGGGGTTATTCCAAACACTTATCCTGCATCTTGCAACTCCTCCCAAATATTATTTCCACAAACTGCCTGTGTTCTTTTTCCTGAAATGTCAAGGACTCCACTGGGCAAAGAGAGATGAAAAGCTACAACTCCCGTTTCCGCGCTCTTGAAACGCACCCTGCAAGAAATGGCAAAGAATACGGTACAGAACTCTCCGTCCCAAGGCTTCGGGGCAAGGAAGGGCTTGGCCGATCGGATGCAAAGGGAGAGAGATGGCAGTTCCGGACTGGGGTGTTATTCTCACTAGATCCGGAATCTCCAAACTGGGCCACTTTAAGACGCCTGGACTTGCACAAGCACGCACTGGCTGGGGAATTCTGGGAGTTGAAGTCCATAAGTCTTAAAGTTGCCTGTTTGGAGACCCCTGCACTAGTAAACTGGGACCTAGAACTAGAAATCTGTCAGTTACACCTGGAGGACTTCCAGCCCCTTCTCCGCAGAAGCAGAAACTTCTGGGTGGAGCCCAGCCACGCAAAGGGATGTCAATCAACGTCTTGCAAAGCCTCTCTTCCCTTCCCCTAAGTTGGACAGGATAAGGGCAGTCGAGCCGCTCCTTTCAAAGGGAAAGCTGTACAATCTCTCCTCCTCCAACCACTGAATCCAATCCAAATCAAAGCCATCTCATCGCATTAAACTGAAGTTCTGCTAAAGGTGAAGTTCATCCAAAAGTGACATCTGAACATCTTTGAATTCTGGCACGATCCAGCTTTGCAATGAAAAAAAAGAAAGCCACTCCTCAGCCCCAGGCCTCCCCGCTGTGCCGGTGGATTTTGTTGTGTTTGGGCCGAGAGTTCACCAGGAAGCCGGGAGGACCCTCACCAGTTCTCCGCCCCAAAGGCCACACCGAGGGGGCAGAGGTCAAAGCCTGTTCTGGCCTTTTGTGAACTTCGAGAACCCCCCCCCCAAATTAGGGGGGCCCTTCTGTTCCAGATCTCTTCCCTCTGACCCCAAACTCGGGTGGTGGTGGTGGTGTTGGATGTGGATGAGGGCACATGGGACGAGACTTGGGTGGGTTGATCAAAAAACGTAGCCCAGCCAAGTTTAGGGTAGGAGGTAAACCTCAGAGCACAAAGCCAGCAGCCTGGAGAATTGGAACGAAGAGCTGGGCTGGCCACCTTTCTGAGCCAATGGACTCCTGAAGTTATGAAGGCCACGCTCGGAGGCTCCCGCAAATTGGGTTCCTGGTTAGTCACACCACACCACCCACTTGGCTGTACTCCGTAGGCCTTCAACCCCCCCCTTTTCCTTCTTGTTCAGAGGTTGGGTGGTGGGGAGAGTGTGAAACAAAACAACGGTCTGCAACCGCCCCGTTGTTCTATCCCTGTCAAGTCAAGGGGGGATGGTGGTTTATTCCACCTGGCAGAGAGCATTCGGACCTCTGCGTGGGAAGGTGATTTCAAGGGTCCCTGAGCAGGGGGGGCACCTGAGGAGGCAGCATCACCCTCCAGGCCCTGCTTCGGTTGCCAAAAAGCTGCCGCTCCTTCAGCCAGTCAATTTATGACTGAACGGATGGATGGATGGAGTCGACCTGCATTCTGTGAAGGCGGCTTGAGCAGATGTTGCCCCCACCGGAGAGCTTAAACATGCAAATCTATTCCCCTCGTCAAACTTCCATCTGCAACAGGGCAGTGATGTCAGCTTATCTCAGAGAGTTCCTGTCAGGAAACAGACGTCTTTGTCAAGGATTTGAGCTCCTTGAGATCAGCTGTTGTAAGGCGTCTTAATGCAGAGAAAGCTGAATTAATAAGCCTCTATTGATCTCGGAAAGGCCAGAAGCCAAGGAGCCAGAGGAGCACAGCTGCTTTACGCATAAAAAGGGAAGCGATCAATCAATTCGCCAGACCTTCTGTCCCTTCACGAGGATGTTCTTTTCCCAAACATTGCAAAACTACGTTCAGAGCATCTGAAAAAGGCGGCTCCGTGAAAATCAGTGGCATCCCTGGCCAGATTAGGGCAGCGGTATCCTTCGGAAAGAGGCACGAAGGCTGCTACAACAGCGGAGACACGGAGATGCTCACAAATCCACACACCTCACAACTCTGGATTCCCAACCGGTTATACTGAATGTTTCTAGCCTGCCAGCCGCTTTCTTGAGCCAGGCTTCTCTTACTACCGAAGGATCACAACTCGGGACAGGATATGTGCGGGTAAGAGCCAATCACAGAGTTATGGGGTTGGAAGGGACCTTGAAGGTCTTCTAGTCCAACCCCCAGACCACTGCGGGAAACTTCATACCATTCTGGACAAATGGCTCTTGGGCCCGTTTTGGGAAAACCTCCAGTGATGAAGCACCCACAGCTTCAGGAGGCGAACTGTTCCACCGCTTAGAAACTCAATCAATCAATCAATCAATCAATCAATCAAGGGTTTCAGAATTATTGGCTTCTACCACTGTCTGAAATTCAGCACTGGCACCCAGACTAGCTGGATAGATTCAGGCATGCCCCAGGGGACAAGAATTTCTTCCTCTTCCCTTGTTTATGAGCTACTTTTCACAAACAAGCCAGCAGCAAATCCCTTCCACTGCACGGACGCGAGATGGGACTTCACCTTTCAAAGAGCATCACCCAGCACAGCCTTTTATCCTGGCACGGTGGCTTCCATCTCGTGGCCAGGCAGTTCAATTTCATGCCCCACAAAGCAGCCAAGAATTTAGCAAACGTGAGAGGCAGTAAATCCACCCAAGCCTCTGTCAGGACGAGAGCTGCTCCAGTCGGACAAACCCATCCTGATGCTCTGGGACTGGCAGGTGCCAGGCTGGGACTGGCATCCTGCTGAGGCTGCAGCTCAGGCCGCCCCCGACGGCTTCCACAGCATCTCGGGAGGGGCACCGGCTGGGAAATCTGAAGGTGAACGGTGACCCTTCTGCTCCTTAGCCCCTCCTGACCTGCTTTCAGCAAGGAGGAGGGCTGCGAGCAGAGGAGTTGAAAAGAAAAAGTTGACACGAATGCTTACGAGACATCCCCATGACGAGTAAAAGCGCCTTTCCTTAGAAAAGAGAAAAGAAATGTCTCTTCTCATTCTCATGGGAAGAAGTGAGAGACTGTGGAGCAACGGGAAGAAAGATAAGAGGGTCAATCAGGGGTGTCCAAGTGTGGACTTCAACTCCCACCATTCCTAGGCTAGCTGGGGAATTTGGGGAGTTGAAGTCCCCCCGTCTTAAAGCTGCCAAGTTGGACACCCCTGGCATAAATCTAGCAAACAAGCAGGCACCTTCGCTCTGCAGAGCGCAAAACGTCTTTGGGGGAGAAAGGAAAACTTCCACTTCTCTGAAATTCTCGGATTTTAGCCAAAGCAAAAAATGGTTTCTCGCCAAAAGCAGGCACAACTCCAACCCAAACTCTTTGGCTCATAAACATGCAAAAAGTTTCCTTTTGCATATGGTGCAGAAGGGTCTCACCTGACTTTGTTTTAGTGGGGTGTGAAAGTACAACACACCCACCTACGCACATCCCTTATCGGTAAAGATTTCTGGAGGGCAAATTTTGGAGTTAACTTTTGGGAC